TATATTTATCACCAAAATTATATAAATAGAACCTTTAAAGAGCACTGCGATGAAGTTCCTATCTTTATAAGCCGAAAAACTAACTTATTTTGTTCGCTTTTCGTACAACCTCCTAAGTGGATTTATACTGTAGATATGTTCAAAGCTAAAAATAAACTTTAATCTGCTATCGCAGGCCGGCTTAGAAGATATCTAGTTGAAAGCTTAAAACATGTTCGATACATACATTCTTTCTACTTTCTTGACACACTTTCACTAGAATTAGGCAATTGTCGGCGAAACTCCCATTGACCTCGTTTTCTGTAGGAAAGCGATATAATTGTGGGAACAATACCTTTACATCATAATAGAATCATTAAAAATAGATGCCGTTAAACCGCTGTTTTATTACAGTTACGCAAGCTACGGCGCTGCTGCTCCATCATACGCTCAAGCCCCATCGTATGCCGCCCCGGTTCCATCGTACGTTGCACCAGCTCCATCTTATGCAGCACCTCCACCACCTCCACCACCACCACCCCCACCACCACCACCTCCACCACCACCGCCACCACCACCAGCACCTGCTCCAGCTCCAGTGCCAGCGCCTTCATATGGAGCTGATCAAGTAAGTCGTGGTTATCGATTGCGAGTGTTTTCCAAGTTTAAAAGGCGATTTAGGGTACCGGTGCCGGAGGTCCATACGCTTCCCCTGCCATTGTTGTACCGGCTGTTGTAGTCCAGCAAGGAGGAAGAGGAGGTGGCGGATATGGTGCTGAAGCTGGCGTCGCAGGAGGAGCAGGTGGTTATCAAGCTCCCGTAGTAGGCGGACCAGTAGCAGGCGTTGGTGGAGGAGTATATGCACAAGGTGGAGGCCCTGGAGTTGGAGGACCCAGTTATGGTCAAGGTCCAGCACCTGAAGTTGGCGCCGGTCCGGGTTACGTGAATGGCGGAGGAGCCGTAGGTTATCAAGGTCCTGCTGTTGGTGTAGGAGTAGGACAAGAGATTGCACCAGTACCACCAGCACCCACTTATCAACAGGGACTTGTTGAAGCTGATCAGGTGGATGTAAAACCACAGCAAGAATTCCAACAAACCATTGTTACAGAACAACAGCCTCAGGTTAGAAGCTTAACTTTACCTTGATTTTGCCTCAAATTTATAAGAGAGTGCTTCTTAGCCGCAAGTTACCGAGACACACGCCGAAGCTACTCCCGTTGATACCTCCATTTCTGGCCATGAAGAAGTTGAAACTCAACCAGTTCCCGTAACCCCAGCACCAGCTCCTGCTGTTGTTGAGACCGTTCAACCAGCAGCCACTGAGGCGCCAAAAGGTATGTAATTAGTATCAAAAGAAAGAGATAACAACATGTTTATGGGTTAAAAGAAACAATTTATAGAAGAATCAAGCTATGATGATATCGTAGAAGAGCAGCAAACTATCGATAACGGTCAGGCAACATCTGTAAGTTTGTACCGAAGAGGTGGGAAATATATGGATCCATTATTGATCGGTTTGTTTAGGGAACTGCCTCAGCAACAAATGACGTCGATTATTCCAATGATGGAGCTGATGAAGGAAACTGTGATGATCCAGAGTTGAAAGCCATTGTTGAAGGAGCACTTGCTTCAGAGAGAGTAAGTAGATAGTGGCTTTTCGTCTCTTTTTAAGGTATAAGGTACTGCTAACAACCTTGCTTCGTTTCAGGATAACCTCGAGGCAGCACGAAAGATCGAAAGCGATGCTGCCGCAAAGTTCGGTGGACGGTTCAATGCTATCGTCTCAGACGCTGAATTCGCTTACGTGAATTGGTACGGTAAGCGGAACTGTCAACTGCGTGTCGGAAATCGTCATTCGCTCACCTGGGAGGACTAAGAAGACGTCGATACGCGATTACACAAAGTCTGAACAGTAAACTACACGAAGTCCGCACAAGTGCCTAACTCCATCGCGTTGTGTCGCT